CCAGCTATTAAGGAGCTCTGCATGACATGCGGAAAAATATTGTCTAAATCAGCCCACATAGAAATGATCTCTCCTTTGATCTGCCAGTAATTTCATGCAGTCATGCTCATTGCCCACCAAAAGTGGCACTGACTTATCTGCAGGGTAAATTAATATAGTATAGCTAGGCTAAATCTCAAACAGTGTATTATTTATCAGCAACATATTTTGTGATATCGCCAAGCCATAAAACTGCTCAATATTAAAGCTTACAATATGACTTTTTGTAAAGCTGCTTTGAAACGATGTGAATTGTGAATACAGTTTGACAGTAATTTCATCTAACTTGATTCGTAAGTTCATCAAAACATTATCCAATTGATCGTTACTGAAATCGCAATGGTTATCACTTAATATAGTACGGCCAAACAGCGTCATAGATAATTCATAAACTCGTACATAAAGGAATGCGCATGCTCGTGCCTCAAGCGTCTATGCCAATAAGATTTCTGTATTATAAACCAATAAAATCGGGTGTGGGCGGAGCGACACGTGTCGCCCCACCTAAAAGTGTCGCCCCGCCCCATCGTCCAGACTGCACTCTGGGGCTACTCCTTATAACAGAAATGAAAGATACAACAGATGGATCCTTGGCGCCAATGACGGCAGGATTTTGTTTTTTGAAAGAAATTGCCGAATTTTTAAAAATAAGTATTGAGTTTCACCTTATCGAATCTCTAAATATCGGAATGGAGAAAAAAACTTTAAAGTGGTTCAAATGTCGACTTATATCTTACTAAGATGTGATTATATATATAGTTTATTCTCTTTATTATATACAGAAATGGACCATGGTGAACACAGTAACAGTTTGTGAACAGTTTTGTGTAACAGTTTTGTTTTCAGACTTTCAAAAAAGTCCAGTACAAATATACAGTCACTCATCAATGGCAGCTGTTATAGTTGATAGGCGACAAAAACAGTCCTCCGTAGGCTAGATGTCCCATCTAGCAACAGGTTCCTCACCTCATCCGACCAGGTTCCTCACGTAACTTATTTCGGACAGACTTCTGAGGCAGTATAACTGTTTAATGATCTACACAGAAAAATAGAGCAAGCTTTAGTGAGCAAGCTTTCGAGCGGCTATATATATATATATATATATATATATATAAATGAACTAAATTAATAACTTTTTTATAACAAAAATTAACTTACTTAAACTGGATCAAGATGCTATTTACTTCTAGATCTGCTGTACAGCTGAAACAAACTTTGTTTTCCTGTTGCTGTAAAGCTACTTTGAAACAATCAAGTATAAAGTATAATAAAAAGCGCTATATAAATAAAGGTGACTTGACTTGAAAACTAAGCGAATATTTAATTACTACAATAGTAATTTCCCTAGAAATGACATCTAAAGTGGAAAACATTGGTGAAACGTACATGTACATGTCACAAACTGACCACCAACCTCAACTTTCAGACGCTATCTTTATTTTTTTAGCACTACTATCAAAGAATAGAAAGCGCAGGATTGTGGGATATCAAAGGCATTGAAGGATACTGAGACATGAAGTGAAGCTAACATTGGATTTGGACGTGCCTTGATACCTTCCTACCTTGGAATGCATCTTCCGAAGGCAGCATTTTTCAGTTTTCGGACGCAGCCTTTGTCTGTACATCTAGATGGCTGCGTACTTGTCACTCTGAGTATCTGTTGACATCAGTAATGACAGGTAAGAGACATTCGACACTTTACTGTTAGATGTTTTCCTCACTGATGTAGATTGATTATTTCACCTCTAATCTTTTCCTAATCTACAGTAGCTTTCTAATAAACCTATACTTGTATACAATGACCGTTGGTGAAACCCAAAACAAGGGTTGCCCATGCTATGGTTGTTTAATTTTTATTGTATTCAGTTCTGTACAGCACTTTGGTCAGCCTTGGTTGTTTTTAAATGTGCTTTATAAATAAATATTGTATTGTATTGTATTGGTGAATTGCTTATGTTCCTCTATTGCAAGTTGCTTTGGATAAAAGCACCTGCTAAATGTATAAATGAAATGTACATGTATTGTACTACACACTTAGACAAGTTTGCTGTTCTAAATTATTTGACACTCTATTCATAACTGGTAGGTCTTGGCCCTGAAAATAGGTTGTAGTTCAATATCATGTTAAAAACTGTGTTGAATCCAGAATTTATGAGTCAAAAGCAGACCACTCTTTTATCTGGCCTTCTGCAAATCAAGCTCACAGACATTACAGAGATTAAAGCTGCAGTCTGTTTTCCTCTTTGTCGCCACCTCTGTTCGAAATCTGCAATTGCAGTTATTCGTGGAATTATCAATTTTACGCGGGTTGTGCCTCGGCACGGCACAGAGCGGATGAATCCAATGTTTTGAGGAGAATGTGCGGCTGTGAGTCACCATGCCAGTGTGGATGTGGATACTGTCATTCGGAATCACGGATTCTACTTTTTGGAAGTATGACCAACATAAGATTTTTCACCAGAAAATGTCATCTGAACAAGTAAGTAACATCCACTTTTGTTCTGACCAACTAAGGGAAAAAAAGCATTGAAAAAAAAATCTAACGATCGCTTATCATATCACATCAAACCGTGCAAATTATACTTTGTTCTCAAATTGTTAATGTTAACAACGTCAGCATTGCGTGACTACATTTAATGCCCTTCCGATACTATCCTTGTTTTCGCATGGGCCCGGTTGCTGTCTCTTTTTTTTTGTAACCACTCCAAAGTCCGAACGAAGTCTTTTGCATTTTACAACGGGTGAATCTCCAGTTGTCACTGGTGATTGTCGTTTGAACCTTTCTGGATCCGCCATCAAATTGATAAGTTTAATTATATCAAGTGCTGTGAGAAAAGGCTATAAATCTCCACCTCCAACATCCTCACACGCAATATAGCCTACTAGCCGAGACTCCTTCTTAATGTGTACAGATGTGACGTAATGACGCAAAGACATGCTCGACTTTCCCGCGGAAATCCACCAGTACCACTGGGATTAAAAACATTATTACAAGCTTACCGGTTTGAATCGAGCTAAGGCAAGCAGAGAGTTTTGAACACTGGCTGGTTATGTACTTGCTCAAAAAATTAGTTTTTAATCGGAATTCAGCTTTAAATAGTTCATTCAAAAAGTAAAATCACATCATGTACTCACCCTCATGTCATTCCAACCCTATATGACTTTATTTCTTCTGATGAACACAAATTTTGAAGAATGTTTCAACCATGTATTCAAATGCTTCAAAACAAAATTGAGACCACAGTGCACATAATATGGACAGGGGGAAAAACAATAAGTTCTTGCCTTTTGTCTTGACGTATATTGCATATATTAAAATACAGTCAGACATTAGAAATGAAACCCAAAACAAGGACAACTTGAATAAAATGTATATTTTTATTATTTTCTCACCTATGCAACAACATACTGAATGATTATATTTTTGAGCCTCTGATGCTGTTTTTTCCACATTGTGATTGTTTTAGTTTACTTTCACTTTAGTGTTTTGTAGTTTAAATTTTTCAGTATATTTTGTTTTTATTTTAGTTTTAATAAGGATTTGTTTTGATTATTAATGCACAAATTCGTTACTGAGCATCTGCTTTATTAAGCTCTGCTTTATGAAGTTTAGATTACTGAACCTGTTATAAATTGTAATTGTTGTATTTAAAACATTTTCACTGTTCTACTTAATATATACATGATCATGTGGCTAAATTTAGAAACTATTTCAGAAGTTATTTACCACACACATACAAGCATTTAAGCTTAAGTTAAATTGCCTTCAAAAATTAACTTAAGTTCATTTTATTTCAATTTGATTGACTGAACGCTGTTACAAGTGTGCTGATAATGCTGGTGTTGTTGCCACTGTCACAAGACTGTGATCTTCTGCCGGGAACATCAGGCCAATCTGCTACTGTCTAGGTGGTTTGTCTTCGTCTGGCATCACAGCTGAGATCCACTGGGGTAACCCTACCAGTAGTTCTGAAGTACCAGTGGCATAGCTCTCAGCATCACTGATGCACACAAGCCCTTACAGCACGTCAAGCTGCAAACCATGTGAGGGACCCTAACCTAACCTAAATGTTTAATAGCAACCGCATATCAACCAACCACTCATAATGTCCTGACAACCACTTAGCAATGCACAAAAAAACCACAACGAAAAGTCCAGCAAACGCACAGCAAAAGCATGTCAACAGACAGGAAACCACCCAAAACATCCTGGCAACCACATAGCAATGCATTAAAACAGCTTAAAACAACCCACTCTAGGAGGATCTAACAACACAGTCAAGAAAAGCATCCTAAAAATCTCACTGCAGTGTGCTAAAAATGCACAATGGCTAAGTCAAAAGAAGAGAAGATATCATCGCCCTTCACAAACAAGGAACAGAATACAAAAAGATAGAGAAGGCACTACATGTTCCTAGAGACACCATTTTTGAAAGCATAGTTCACAAGTTCAAAGTTAAAGGAACAGTGGTTACACTACCTGGACGGGTCAGAAAAAAGACGACATCAATGGCTGCAACCAGATTTCTGAAAAGGCAGGTTTAGAAAAACTGTAAAAGACCTGCTGCAAGACTTGGTGGCAACAGGCACTGAGATTTCAGCTTGCACAGTAAGGCGAGTACTTAACGCATGCGGTTTCCATGCCAGAACTCCAAGAACGTACACCACTACAACCCAAAAGCGTTCAAAATCATATAAATAACCCACAGAAGTTTTGGGATTCTGTTCTGGGGAGCAAAGTTAAACTGTTAATTAGTGATGTCAGATAGTTCCAGCATGTAATGACAAACAATACTACACACAGAAGCAGAATACCCTTCTCGGTCTTCTATTTATTTTGCACATACGCCTCCAAGCTTATTAGTGAACATCACATTTCTGCTAAATTTTGCCCCACTCCAAAAAGTGCCCAAAAACATTAGAACTTGAACTAAAGGTACATCAACAAAAGCCAATTAACACTGATGTGTACAGAGAGCATAGTTGTAGATTGATTCAAGAGACAAAACTAAATAATAAATAGGAAATTACATTAATTCACAGTCAGACAGGCAGTTTGTGTAGCATGTATGAAGGGATGGTACAGGATTGGTTTCTGTGCTCTGTATAGTAAAGTGGTTGAAGGGTTTTGCTCATGGTTCAAGCTTAGTGGTCCGTTTCCTCTCAGGCCTTGCAGAGAGCCACTGCAGAGAAACGCACCTCCCCTTTCTCCCGCTCAGTAAACTCACGGCACACCCTTGCTGCATCCTAGAGAGATTAAGTCAGTTATTCAGTCACGGGAAAATGACTCATTGTTTTAGATGCTCTAAATCTACGGTTTTGACCGTAATGACAGTTCATAAGAGAGAATGTGTCCTTACCATGACAAAGCTTTCTGGTTTTGTAGGTCCATGACTCACAGGTCCATCAATTCTGCCATCTGATGTGACAAAACACCCACTTTTTCATCTCAGACTTTTTAAAAGGAGTTTATACTTAAAGTCATTGGCCAATGAAACAGACACTACACCACAATACATGTCATCCACTTACCCAGCTCATAAAGCTGACCATTTACATTGACAAATGTAATGAAATGGAAGTTGACTTCGTCTGCCTCTGGCTGTTATGATAAGAGAGATGGAAAAGTAATTTTTTTTTTAAATTACTTAGTACTTGTATCTGTAACTAGTATATGTGCTATATTGCCAGTTGTTTTGTCTTACCCGACACTCTCCTTCATTAGCAACTGCATCATGAGTTTCCTGGATGTCCTGAATAAAATTGTAACTAGATTAACTTAATTTTAAAAACACAACTCAAGCCTGAATGCATTTTAATTAAAGTCAGCATGAAACGGAAGTTGCGATAGACTTTTCTTCCCTATTGTGGCGTATATCCGAGTGAAACTCGGTTGTGGTTTGTCATTGCGGTGATCTCACGAGAGTGACAGATTGTCCGACACTCACACCAGAACACACATTATCAGAGAGAAGAGATGTTGCAAGAGGGAGTGGAAGTTATTTTGATTCATAATTACAAGGGCACATGAATTGATCAAATAAAGTGTACAGGTAAATGCTTTATAATAAATACTGCAATATTCCATAAATAAGATTGGTCCATTTTGATTTCATGGTGACTTTAAACAAAAAAAAAAACATGGAAAATATAGTACAATAGTACCATCTACTGGTGGTATTGAATACTGCACAAAAATTAAAATAGTCACATGAACTGTGACATTTCAGATGTTAATCTTTGTTTTTGGCAAAGATTGTGGCAAATCAAATCACATTTTGTGTGGCTCAACTTTTAATGAATGCATACAATACCTTATTTTGTTCAAGTTCTTTGGCTCTTTCTGCAGCAGACATCTCGGAGGTGGCTTTGAGAAACTTCTTCAGTGTAGAGTTGTTGTCTATAGATGGTAGAAAGAAGAAGAAAAAAAAGTCAAGTCTTGAATTAGCCTCTTTCCCTAACAACCTAAACTGCATACAAAGACAGTCAGATCATGGTTAGAGGATTTATAATTTTTATAAACTGTTTTAGCTTTAATGATGCACATGAAATTTGATTAACCTGGTTTCTAAACATCTTTGGATTGATTTATTTAGCCAGTCAAATTTTCAAAAGATAAATTAAATGTAATATTTTTTAAATCAACAAGGCCATCAGCTTTATTCTGCATCAATAAGCATCTTGTGTATGAGCAGATGTTCATGGCACATGTCTCCACTGACCAAAATCAATACTGTCCTGGTTGTTGGCCACAGCATGTACCAATCCCACAGTTCCACAGGAGTTGACCACAGTTTGTTTCAGAAAATAAACACGTTTAGTATCTTCAACAGACTGTTTGGAACGAAAGTCCTCATGCTAAAAGAAAGAAGAGGATGTGGGTTAAAAAGTTATAAGTTAATGATTCATTCTATGAATGTTAAATTAATGTTAAATTAACTAACATTATGTTAAATAAATTAATAAGTTAAATTAATGTTAAATGTTAACTTAACAACTTTCATTTCTTTCCTATAATAAAACTATTAAGATAGAACTACACAAATTGTCTTAAGGATTACAGGCATACTTGTCACGTGAGAAATGACCACGCCCGCGTTTAATGTAATGCATTGTGTGCATCATGTGCGTGCGTGCGTCCGTACGTAGGCCTACCTGTTGCGTTAAAGGGAAGAGCAGCATCATGGCACAGCAGGGTGATGGCACCCCTGACAAAGACTCATCTTCCAGACCCAAAACATCCACAAAACGCCAACTCGAGCCCACACCCAACTTACTCAATACCTAGATACAGAAAAAAGGTTAACAAAAAAAAACACACACACAACGCGCGAGACCCGTTATTTCAGGATAAAATAAAGCGGTCTGAAATATTCCAAGTTTGTAATTTTGTAAAATTTCATTGGATTTCATCGTCAATTGTTTATAAACGACAATCTGAATCGTGGTATTATGCAAAATTACAAATTATTGCGTAAAGCATGCATTTACAAATTCTGCGCGTTATTGTTTTCGTGCATATGTGATGTGTGTAAGCCCACGCCCTTTCATTTCAGATTCGGGTCCATGATAGTTCAGCTCCAGACGCCACAGACAGTCTCATCATCATCATCATCTCATCTTATGACTCAGCGAACGTACCTTATTCAGCATCTGAAACCAATACAAAGGCACAAATATGTCGGCCACAATCATACCAGAGAAAGCGAAAGCATGCACGACAAACAGATTGGCTAGCGTGGCTAAATCATGACATAGCGTTAAACCTCCGGGTTTATTTCCATCGGTTTCCACTCCATGATCGCAGACGTTCGTGAGTGTCACTCCTCAAGAGTTCTGAAAGGCGTCGCTCGAGAAAACACAAACCCTACTGAGGGAGCACGAGGATCATATATGCGACCGGTCATATTCCATTTACACAGACCGGAGGGGTGTCCGCTCAGATACACGTGCTATTTATGTACTACTGGCACACATATTTACACCGGTAGTGAAACTTTTCTGTATATTTAGTGTGTCTTTAAAAAGGCAACGCCACACGGAAGAGAGAAAAACGGAAAAAAGTTGGTTCAGATTCTCCAGCAATAGGTCCGTCCGCCATCGGTCGATTCTGGAAGCTACCAGTGTTTTCCAGCTCTGATTAATCATTTGATTAAAACCAGAAACAATTAGATTTTACTGTAGATTATTTTAAAAAGTGGACAAATGTATTAGGTGCACTTATGACTCAAGCTGCGTAAATCAGAACCAAAAGACTATAATTTTTAACTCTGCTCTATTCACAAAACTCCTTACTTTGACCTGAGTGGATCAGCTGAAATAACAACTGATGACTTGCACTTTCTGATGTGTTTTAAATATGTCAATTTGAAGTGGGTTTATAGGCCTACATACCTGCCAACTTTTGAGTTTTGCTCGGCGTGAGATTTGTTGACGGGGGGGGGGGGTGGTAGAGACGATTGAGATTTGTTGGGGGGGGGGGAGGAAACGAGTGAGATTTGTTGACGGGGGGGGGGGGTGAGGGGGGGCGTCGGTCTCGCTCGCGCAAGGTCTCTCGCTCGCTCTACGCGGTTTGGAGCACAATCTCTGTCTCGCATGCACGCTCGCTCTAGATAACGGGAGATTTTTAACGAATTTGCGGTATAACTAGTCGATCACGAGTGGCTCAACAGGTAGATATATAGATAAACTCATCTTCCAGGCATTTGACCGCCCGGGTTGACACTTCAGCGTGAGAAATCGGGAGTGTGGCGTGTGAGCGTGTGAAACCAATCAAATGCGGGTGTCTCACGGCCAATGCGTGAGAGTTGGCAGCTATGGGCCTATAGCCTACTGTCAAGCATGTTTTTGTCTATGAAATTCAGTTTACACACTCAAGACATGATGTTTTATAAACAAGGTTCGGGAGGAGCACGTTCAAATAAATCATTCCAATCAACTCGTCACCAAACTATTACATGTCTACCCAGCACGAGAGGAAGCATATATAAATATCCACTGTCAACTCACCTAACATTCCTTGACAGTTTCAGCATCCCTCCACCACCCCGACTCCTCACTCCTGGCTCATTCTTCCACAGTCAGGAACGGGGAAGTACTATGGGTTCGGGCCGCATACCGAGCCCGGAGCCCTCTCCTCGGACAGCACGCCAAATATGCATTTATTCTATCTGACTTATTTGTAAGTGTGAACTCGTGAAATGAATACTGAGTAGGCCTATGAGTTACATAATTAATAAAGGCTGTATGTGTGTGAGTATGCCTATTTGAGATGACAAGAAGGTTCTCTGACTGACTGTCGAAAAACCATGTTTACATATGGTGGCATCATAATGTTGCCCCTTTTAATTTTAGTAGTTTGTCCAAAAATGTATATTCTGGCTATTTGCTCACCCTCATATTGTTCGAAACCCATATGATTTTATTTCTTTAGTGGACAGGAAAAGATGACTTTTTAAAAAAATATCCTACCCTCTCTTGAAAGAGAATGAGGACTGAATGACAAAAAAGACAAAAGAACATCATAAAAGCATAAACTTGTTTGAGTTGCGATCAAAATTATTTAACTCCCGGAGACTGTAAGCTTTTCTAAAGATACTGAGTTTTGTTTTTTGCTTTTAAAATGCATCTGTAAGAGTTTAGTGGCAAATTGTATTTAAGTAGGACTTTTTGTAATACAACAAAAATATTCAACACTGCTGTTTTAAATCACTTATTTGTATGATATGGTACAAAATTGTGTTAAAACTCAATGAAGCCTTTGGAAACTCTATAACAAAACTGAATTTGCTTGACTGAATGCTTGACTTAACTGAATTGTGCTGTTACACTTACATGCATTTAGCCCACGCATGAGCTAAAGCTGAGTAGCAAATATGGCCAAGTCAAAAGAGCTCTCACAAAAGCTATAGAGAACAATATGTTTTATTACATTAGAAAGTCTATGGCTACAAGAAGATTGCCAAAACACTAAGGGGCGGTTTCCCGGACAGGGTTTAAATTAAGCCAGGAGTAGGCCTTAATCTAGAATAGTTAATCGTGTCTTAAAAAATGGCTTTCTGTAACACAGATTAAGTACCGATTAGTTGCACCTGGACTAAGGAGTCCTGAACCAGATTAATTTAAAACCAACTGTGCTAATCTGAATTAGCATGACAGAGGTTGCCTATAAACCATGGAATGAACCAAGAAAATCTTAAAATTGCATGTAACTGCAAATCCAAGTAAAACAATGGCATCTGAAAAAATTACTGAACAAGAGACAATTATTTATAAGCAAGTAAACATAAACTGCACACATCAGCTGTGGAATAAAATAAAATAAATGCCTGGAAATCTGTTTGTAATTATATATATATGAATTCTATAAATGTGTGTGTGTGTGTGTGTGTGTGTGTGTGTGTGTGTGTGTGTGTGTGTGTGTGTGTGTGTGTGTGTGTGTGTGTGTGTGTGTGTGTGTGTGTGTGTGTGTGTGTGTGTGTGTGTGTGTGTGTGTGTGTGTGTAATCAACCATGTACAACTAACTAATCAATGTTGTTCATTAACAATTAATGGTTTTCATTTCAAAATGAAGTATTAAATTAATCCTACAAATAATGCTTCTTGATTATTCCTGTGATTTACATAGCAAACTTAAAAAAACTGTTTTGTACACATATGGTTTTCAATGTTGGTACTCTAGACTTGAAGCAACACTTCAACACTTTTATTCAGGTTCATTCGGTCTTTGTCGGTTGTTGTTGTTGTTATCAATGTGAATGTTAGCACATGTTGAGTTTATGCTGTGTTTCTCATGGATCTTCAACGCGTCTACCTGCCTGTACCATTTTGTTTAATTTTTATTAAGTAAACGTTTGTATTGGACTTCTGCCTATTGATTCATCCTTCAACCAGCACCACAACCCTGACAAGAGCAATATTAACAAGATTTTTGTATCTTGCTAAATAAAAATGCATAACATGTCACTTTATTTAAAAAATTTCTCTCCCAATTCAGACCTGTGCAAAGCATGATGGGAAATGAAAGTTATATATGACTGGATTACTAGATTGAAACATGTTTCAAAATGAAAACATCAAGTGAAGTCAAAGAGTGACCATTTCAAGTCAGTTTAAAGGGTTAGTTCACCCAAAAATGAAAATTATGTCATTAATGACTCACCCTCATGTCGTTCCAAGCCCGTAAAACCTCCGTTCATCTTCGGAACATAGTTTAAGATATTTTAGATTTAGTCCGAGAGATTTCTGTCCCTCCATTGAAAATGTATGTATGGTATAATACTGCCCTTGTCCAGAAAGGAAATAGAGACATCATCAAAGTAGTCCATGTGACATCAGTGGGTTAGTTAGAATGTTTTGAAGCATCGAAAATACATTTTGGTCCAAAAATAACAAAAACTATGACTTTATTCAGCATTGTATTCTCTTTTGGTTCTGTTGTCAATCCGCGTTCAGTGATGCTGATGACGTAAGACGCTGACGTGTTATCTGGTGCGAAAGAGCTTCGTTTACAGTCTGAGGGAGACGCACGCTGTAAAGAAAACAATCTTCGCAAACATGTCTAAGGATTTCGACACGGAGGAAGACTTGCATTTTTTTGCCCAGCCATATTTATTTGAGCCCGAATACACGGACGCACCAGATCCACGTCAGCAGCGTCTTACGTCATCAGCGTCACTGCGGACTCGTGAACGCGGATCCACAACAGAACCGGAAGACAATACAATGCTGAATAAAGTCGTAGTTTTTGTTATTTTTGGACCTAAATATATTTTCGATGCTTCAAAACATTCTAACTAACCCACTGATGTCACATGGACTACTTTGATGATTTCCTTTCTGGACAAGGACAGTATACCGTACATACATTTTCAAAGGAGGGACAGAAATCTCTCGAACTAAATCTAAAATATCTAGACTGTGTTCTGAAGATGAACGGAGGTCTTACGGGCTTGGGACGTCAGGTATACAGTCATTAATGACATAATTTTCATTTGTGGGTGAACTAACCCTTTGAATCAATCACATTTGAACTAGAAACCCAATACAATGGTGTTAAAACAAAATGAAATGTTTGAATAAAGTGAACAGCATAATATATATATATATATATATATATCCAAGTAATACATGTGTCTTCTTTGAAACACAATGCTAATCTGAAGTTAAACCTGCCTGGTTGGTTTAATTTAAGCCTCAATTTAAGCCTAGCTTTATAGTCTTCCTCCAGGAAATCAGTTTATTAAACTCTGGACTAAACTAAATCTAGGACTCTTTAAAGCCATGACAGAGAAAGCAGATTTCTGTTAATCTAGTTTAAAGGGCCATTTTGGTCCAGGATAGGCTTAATCTCTGTCCGGGAAACCGCCCCTAAAAGTACAGACACAGCTGGCAGTCTTATTCCTAAGTTTAAATTGTGTTGTACCAGAAAACCTTTGAGGGTGTTGAAGAAAAAGCACAATATCATTAAGGGGAATAAAATGTTTGATCAGAGCAACTGAGAAAAACCCTTAATTTACTGCTAAAGACTTACAAGAGGACCTGATGAAAGGAGGGAAAAAACATTTCAATGCAGATTATATAAGAAGAACACTAGACAAGCATGGCCTTCATGTTGGTACATCTTGCTGAATACCACTCTTGACCAAGAAGAACACAAATGGCCGACTTGAATATGCTAAAATTAATTTAGATAGACCTGTGGAGTTCTGGAAGAATGTTTGATGGAGTGATGTGACCAAAATGGAACTTTTTGGACCCATGGATCAGCGTTATGTCTGGTGCAAAAAAAGGCAAAGCTCATGAGCAGAAGTACACCTTCTCTATGGTCAAAATTGGAGATGGTCCAGTCTTGTTGGGAGTGCTTTGCTGTTCCAGGAAGTGGAAATCTTGACTGTATGAAGGACATCATG